CATCATCATCATCATCATCATCATCATCATCATCACCACCACCACCACCATCATCATCATCATCATCATCATCATCATCATCATCACCACCACCACCACCATCATCATCATCATCATCATCATCATCATCATCATCACCACCACCACCATCATCACCATCATCACCATCCCCACCACCACCACCACCACCACCACCATCATCATCACCATCATTACTAAAAACTAGTAATATAAGGAGACTGCTGTATCATCGATAGTGTCACTAACAAGCTAACAGAAACACAAGAACACACAAACACACAAGAACGCACACACAAAAACACACAAGCATACAAACACACACACACAAACACACAAACACACGAACACAAGAACACACAAACACACAAACACAACAACACACAAACACACAAACACACCAACACAAACACACAAACACAACAACACACAAACACACAAAGGACAGAATCTGGCCCAAGTACTCACTCGTTGCGTTCGTGTCTGTGGGGAAAACAAACAAACCAGAAGCAATGAGTCACACGCACTAAAGGAACGACACAGCAAGTTCATCTTCCACGATTAAAAAAATAAAATAATCACTGCTTCGGTAAACAAAACTAAGACTTGCTGTTATAACCAACAGAATCATCATTACATAACAATAGTCAAGACTTTCATAGAGAAGCTTTTACGCAGGGCTAAAACGTAGATCTATCTTTCTTAGAAAAACACTGTGGTGTTTCGGGGTATGAAATAACAGAGTAAATGTAAACATGTTTTCCTCTTTAGTTTTAGTAAGTGTTTTACGGCACTTTCAGGACAATAACGCCATATTTATAGTGCCGAAGATTAGAGGTGTTATAAGAGAGTAACAAACACAAAAAGAAGGAGTGATGAGGACGATAGATGTTTGCTAGGGAAGAAAAAGCAAACCACACCAGAGCACTCGCTAACCACCCACAATGATGTTTCTGTATAACCCCCCCCCCACCCCAGAGATAATATAAACTAAGGTGAATATTTACAAAACGTATAAGATCATCCGTGCCCAGTTCAATAACAGGGAGTCTAAAATAATCTGACTCTTTGCCACCGAAGTAAGCCCTCGCTGGTTGTCTTTAATGGTAGAAACATTTATTGCATCAGTAATTTGTCAAATTAAGTGAATTGAAACTGTAAAAAAACCAACAACATCAGAATACGTTATGGCGTTAAGAAGAAAATGCATGTAAGGTATAAGCTTTAGGCTATGAGACTACAAAAGCGATACAATCTATTAGGCGATATAATATGGAGTGAAAAAAATAATATGAAAATTATACATGTACCATAACGCAAGAACGATCGCTGGGCGATAAAAGGGAAAAGAAATGACACATGTCGTGGAACTGATTCTTCTGAGAGGTGTAGAAACAGCTCTGGGTGTGACTGAGACAAGGGTACTTCATGTAAGCGACGTAAAACAACACAAAGCTGACATTTTGGGGGGATGGATGGGAAGCAGAAGGAAAGAAAAGCTCTGCTCATAAACCCTTTGTTCGATCTGAAGTTTGGGATAACTGAAGTTTGGGATAACTGAAGTTTGGGATAACTGAAGTTTGGGATAACTGAAGTTTGTGATAACTGTTTGGTCTTTCTTGTCGTGAAGTAGAGGGGGATGAGTTCTCTTCCACATTCAAGGTACAAGTGCAGTGTTTATTTCTCTTTATTTAGAATATGGTTTTTAAAAATCAAATTCACACCCAGTAGGCCTGTGTTCAAATTCCAAACTGTAACTTAAAATGCCACATTGAAGGATACAGTTAAAATATAAAAGAATATTGTTACTTTAACACAAAAAACAACACATGTACAATAACACTTGATAGCTTTCCAATGATTCCATGTGCACGCATCATTCAATTTCAAATATCAATTATTGTGACATCTCTTAGATAGAAGCTCGAATACCACATTGTAGCTTCAATTCATTTCATCTTAATTTTTCTGAACGCTTATTTCGCGACAACGTTATATTGAAGCTTACGTTGATAGATAAACACAAGAGTAGCAGACCCCTGAAAGCTTCCCACAATGCCAGCCTAGGCCTACTGTTCAAAACTAAGCGGAGAAGACAACGGACGTGTTCATCAATGACATTACAGAGTAGACTTCAAGGAACAAGCACGCTTTGCTCGAGCTAAGATAGAGAGAGGGGGGG